TGTCTAATCAACACATTTTCTACTTTTTCTTTTCTTCTTTCTCTATAACAAAAATAAGGTTTCAGCCCCTATATTTTTTGAATTTTCTTTTCCTTCTTTTTTTTCTTCTCATGAATATGTTGATTTTCTATACTTTAACATGAACTCTATACTTTTCTTATGAAAACTATGAAGAATTATTAAGGAAATATGGCTATGATACCTAGGGAACTACCCTAGGATCTATGTTTTCTATATAAAAAATCCATCACCTCAGCGGGCGCCTAGGCGACTAGGAGACAAGGCGCCCCCTAACGCCCAGCCTCGCCTTGGCACCTTGAAAACTATGCTCTCGTATAAAGTGCCTATCAACTTCTGTGTGTTTAGTTCTGTCATGTTGAACAAGATTATGTGCAATGTTGATAGCGGCCTGATTGTCACAATATAACATCATTAGCTTCTCATAGTCTATACCCAGTTCTTCTAAAAATGATCTCAACCACAAACGTTCTGGAACTCCATGTGCCATTGCCCTGTACTCTGCTTCAGCCAAGGATCTAGCCACTATAGACTACTTACTCCTCCATGATACAATGTTCCCTGCTACCATAGCATAGTAACATGAAGTGGACCTCATATCATCAATACATCAAGCCCAATCAACATCAGTGTATGCTTCCAGCTTCATGTATCCATGCTTAGCAAACAAGATACCTTTCCCTGGATTCCCTTTTAAATAGCACAAAACCCTCTCAGCAGCTACTAAATGTGTATCTCTAGGAGAATGCATGAACTGGCTAATTACATTAACTGCATAGGAAATATCTGGTCGAGTCATGCAAAGGTAATAATAACTTCCCAATCAGTCTCTGGAACACTCCCCTATCAGTCAACAGTTCACCATCAGTAGCTGACAGCTTATGATTTAGGTGTATAGGAGTAGAAGCTAGTCGAGCACCCAATTTGCCATTCTCTACAAGAAGATCAAGAACATACTTCCGTTGAGAAATGAAGATACCATCCTTAGATCTGGCAACTTCAATTCCCAAGAAATATTTGAGTTCTCCCAAGTCTTTAATTTCAAACTCAATGTTAAGAAAACTTTTGAGATGAGCAAGTTCCTGAGTATCATTACCAGTAACCACAATATCGTCAACATAGACAATCAAAAGGGTCACTAAGGAATCTCTCCTCTTAACAAACTGGGTATGATCCGACTGAGTCTGTATGTACCCAAAAGTAACAAGAGCAGCCCGAAATCTGTCTAACCAGGCTCTAGGAGATTGCTTAAGGCCATAAAGGTACTTTTTTAGTTTACAGACCTTCCCTTGCATCTCCTTCCCATACACCCCCAGAGGTAAAGACATATAGACCTCTTCATGTAGGTCCCCATTCAAGAAAGCATTTTTTTACATCGAATTGATGAAGTGGCCAATCAAAAGTAGTAGATAAAGATATCAAAACTCGAAATGAAGTCATTTTGGCCATTGGAGCAAAAGTTTCCAAGTAGTCAATACCATACATCTAAGTGTATCCTTTAGCAACCAAATGGGCCTTAAATCTCTCAATAGTACCATCTAAATGATACTTGATAGTGAACACCCACTTATAGCCAATTGGTTCCTTTCCCTCAGGTAAATCCACAATTTCCCAGGTATTGTTCTTATGCAAAACATCTAATTCAGTTATCATAGCATCCCTCCATTCTGGTTTGGACAAGGCTTTTTGGACAGATCTGGGAGTCACATGTGTGGAAATAGAGGCAATGAAGGAATAGTAGGAAGGGGAGAGAAGGTTGTAGGATAGGTGTTTGGAAATGCAATGAGTTGTACATTTCCGTTTGCCTTTGCGAAGACCAATAGGGAGATCAAGGTCAGGGAAGGTATCAAAAGTGGTCGAAGATGGCTGACCTGTTACCTCAATAGTGATGGGAGGTGCAAGAGGCTCATCTAAAGGTGTGGAAACAACTTGCTTGTCCCTGAGTCTTGGTCTCTAGTACCACCTTTGGATAATAGGATGGAAAGAAAAAGTGGGAGGATGAACAAGAGGAAAGGGAGCAGGAACATGAGAAGAAGAGCAAATAGAGGACTTGATGGGAGGAAACTCAATGGGAATTGGAAGAAGGATAGATGGTGACATCACAAACAACTCCTCTGAATGCTCCCCCTCAAGAGAAGTACCAAAGAAAGGAACAAACTCCGCAAATGTGACATCTCTAGAAACAAAGCGAGTGCCACAAACCGGATCAAAACAGCAATACCCCTTTTGTGTGGAGGCATATCCCAAAAAAACACACGTGTTTTAGGCCCAAACTTATGTCTTTGATGGCTGTGAACATGAACATAGCAAGTGCACCCAAACACTCGGAGAGGAAGAGAGAAGAGATCATCATTTGGAAATAAGAGGCTAAAGGAAGTTTTAAACCCCAGAACCCGGGAAGGCATCTGGTTTGTCAAGTATGTAGTTGTAAGGACAACATCCCCCCAAAACATAACAGGAACATAAGAAGCAAAAAGGAGGCTCCTCACAACCTCAACCACATGTCGATTCTTCCTTTCTGTCACTCCATTTTGTTGTGGAGTGTAGGAACAAGAACTCTGATGAATAACTCCAAAGGTATCAAAGTAGGAGAAAAGGCTCTTCTCAAAATACTCTTTTGCATTATCAGATCGGAATATTTTGACCCGAGTATTAAACTGGGTAAGAATAAGTTCATGAAATTTTTGTACAATATTTGGCACTTCATCCCAAGATTTCATAAAGTAAATCCAGGTGTAACGAGAGAAATCATCAA